GACTTGCATCCCTGTAGGGCTTCCAAATATCCAAGAGACGGTGATGCCATGAGGACAGGATGGAAGTCAACAATCAGGGGATCAAAACAACTCAATGCAGAGACAGACAGAGCTCCTAATATTCCCAAATTTTTCCATTTTGGTTAACTATTCATTCAGAATTAACAAAGCAGTTGAGATCTTAACACCAAGGAGGGGCAAGCCTGCAGTGCCTTGACATGGTACTTTGTTTCTATAATGCCATGCTCTGCTTGGCTCTAGATTAAGAAATCCACCATTCATTTCTTTTTTACTTGGATTAAATTCATCCTTTCTGGGGCACCTGGGTGGCTCAGTCGTTAAGCGTCTGCCTTCGGCTCAGGTATGATCCCGGGGTCCTGGGATCAAGCTCCACGTTGGGCTCCCTGCTCGGCCGGGAGCCTGCTTCTCCCTCTCCCACTCCCCCTTCTTGTGTTCCCTCTCTCACTGTGTCTCTCTCTGTCAAATAAATAAAATCTTTAAAAAGATAAAAAATAAAAAAAAGTCTTATAAAATTCATCCTTTCCTTCCTTTAACTCAACTAAATACCTATGTTGACCAGGGAAACACAGGTTTATTGGTTTGTTGGTTTTTTTGGTTTTTTTTTTAATATGGACTAAATGATGTCTCCAACCATCATGGCTTTGCCAGTAGACTTAACTGCCCAAACTGCTCTTTTCTGGGCAGGAATTTTGCATACAAAGCAACACAGGCTTCTGTGGTTGTGGGAGAAAGTAAGTGTTCTCACTGAACAGCTTACCCATCACATAGCTATCTGTCAACAGGGGCTGGTGGAATGGGTGACGTTCACTTGGACGGGAGCAGGCCAATGTCCAGTTGTCCTGTTTACCCTGGCGAGGCTCACAGGGCAGTACTAAACGCACATCTTATGTCAATATGGGGATGGTCTCACTTAAGAATCACCGATTTTTACAAATGGAACATTTGAACATCTCACTCAGAGATGATTATTTATGGCTGAAACAAAGGCTTTCTTTAATGAGAAAAACATCTTTGATATTAGAAAATCTTCCTCACACATGTGCACATTGGAAAAGTGTGAATGCTTCAGAATGTGGGAAGAACACCAAATGGGGCAGGCAGCAGGTCCTGTTTATTTCAACCACTTCCCAGCTCATCAGACAAGAGGACCGTGGTGTCAGAAAGAAGAGAGTGAGACAAAACTTACGTATTTCGATCACGTTAGACCCTGTCGGTTTGGCCTGTGAAGTGTTGGGAAGAGCGTCCTATGAGCTTGGACAGGTGGCTGGCGGAAATGAATGGTAACACTGAGGAGATTCTTCCTTAACTTGTGGTTTTTTTATCATTTATCAATATTTTTTTAATTGAGGTAAAATACACAGGACATAAAATTCACAACCACCATTTTTGAGTGTGCAGCTCAGTGACATTTAGTGCATTCACATTGTTGGGTAGCCATCACCACCGTCTCTCTCCAGAACTCTTTCCATCTTGCAAAACTGAAACTCTACATCCATTAAACAACGACTCCCCATTCCCCCCACCCATCACCCCCATAAGTACCTGGCAACCACCATTCTACTTCTGCCTCTCTGAATATGACCCCAAGGAGTCATACAGTATTTGTCTTTTTGTGACTGGCTTATTTCACTTAGCAGAATGTCTTCAAAGTTCATCTATGTTTTAGCCTGTCTCAGAATTTCCTTCCTTTTTAAGGCTGAATAATATTCCAAGGATGTATAGACCACATTTTGCTTATCCATTCTTCTGTCAATGGACACTTGAGTTGTTTATACCTTTTGGCAGTTGTGAATAATGCTGCTATGAACCTGGGTTTAGAACTATCTCTTCATTTCTTTTGAATGTAAGCCCAGAAGTGTCTTCCTTAATTAGTGATCTTTTATAATGGCTGAAAAATGAATAAACATTGATATGATTTTCTTTCACACAAGAAAATATGCAATGATCTCTAGTGAAATGTGAGTGTATTCAAATTTCATACATGTGTGTGTCTGAAATGGTAGCAGGTGTTTTTCAAAATAACTTTCCTTTTATTGACCAAAGTAGATAGGCCTCTGTCATAAAACCTTTAATTGCTCATCAAATATTTGGCTAAAACTGAGTCATTTTCTTTCAGGGGAAGTTAGCATTCTTAAATCACTAGCAAATGAGAGGTTTGTAAAAAATTTACCAAAGCTCTCTTTGTGTGTATACACAATGGTTAATGGTCAATAAATAAACACTTTTCTTTATTGCCTGGAGGTTCTGTCTAATGTTTAATTTTTAAAAATTGTACCACTTATATGAGGTATCTAATGTAGTCAAACTCCTAGAAATAGAAAGTAGAGTGGTGGTTACCGGGGGTGTCGAGGAGGGGGGAGTGGTGAGTTTTTAAATAGGTAGAGTTGCAATTTTGTAAGACGAAAAAGTTCTGAAGCTCTGTTGTCCAACCATGTGAATATACTTACCTCTAGTTTATGTGTTTTTTATCATAATCAAAAAATTGTGGAGGACATCAATGTAGAGTGAACACAGTATTGATTTTATAGTTTTAACTTCCCTGGTAGATTTAAATTCATATGTTCATGATGTGGGAAGAGGCAAAGTTCAGAAAAGGGAAAACTTCTTTTTTGCTGAATTTTAGAGAACTCCTCAGGCTATTAAGTAGCCTTAGTTGAATGTCTGCTCAATATATGGAGATATATATATACTACATTAGCGGTTGATATGTCTTGGGGAGAGCTGGCCTCACTTTCTGTGGACCATGTGTGTGAGGAGGCTCGTCAGGCTTAAAGGGCCTGAAACACTCACTCCTGGTTGGAGTTCCCCTCACTGGCTAAGATTTCTTTAGGATTCTTACAAGGAACTAATCAGCAAGGTGAAAATGAACTTCAGTGTTTTCTGGGTGAGATCGTGACGCTACCCTGGCCTTGCTCCCCCTCTTCTACCCCAGATCACACAGTGGGACCTCTCCCCAAGTGAGCTCTTCTTCCAGCAGCCCTCCTCCCTCACACGGTGCCTCCCACAGGCCACTAGCCTTGCCCTCCCTCCCCCATTCCCGAGATCCTCAAGGGTGCTCCTGCCTCAGCAGAGCAACTTCGCCACCCTTACTTCTTTTGTCATGGTATGACTGGTACAGAAAATGGGAAAGGGACAGTAAATGTCTTTGCCAAATGATCCTCCTCCTCCTCCTCCCCTATCCATTTTCCCTCTTCCTCCCAGCTCCCTCCCTATCACTTCCACGGGCTGGCCTCTGCTGGCCTCTAGGGATCTCTATTTACCAATGAGCCAGTCAACTGCCCGCAATCGATACCTACCGAAGGCCCGCTAACAGAGGCCCAGGCCCAGAAAATCAAAAGGAAAGAACTTGGAGCAGATCCAGTCATATCACCAGATGAGCTTTGTGACCACCATACCTTGTCTTGGGCTTGAAGTATTTATAGAAGGCTTTCCTGTGGAAGGAGCTCCACCCAGGATTCAGGAAGCTAGATGTCAGGTCTAAGATGTGACTTTACCCCACTTACACACTAACAGGTTAGCCTGATTCTGTTTTATGGATGCTGGCAGGAGACATGAGCTCCTGGGTCAGAAACAAAGAACTGTATTACTCACAACACAGCAGGCGTCATGAGCACGAACATATTGACACCAGCTCCTCTTGCCCTCAAGGTCCACAGATGTGATCCCCGGCCCAGGTCAGTATTACAGGTAAAGTGGGTTTGTGTCATGGCCCAGGAACACCGAGCTTGGGGAATCCACTGTCTTCACAGCCAACAGTAAACAAGTCTGCTTTTTAGGGGCAGAGGGTGGGAAGACATTACCTCATTTCTCAAAGGCATCGGCAGCAAGAACAACTCTAAGGGTGGCCTGGGGCAAAGAGCAGTCTTGGCACACTCCACAGGCATACATGAGGCCTGAGGAGGACTCTCTCTCCCAACACTGGCTCCCAGGTTCAGCCCTGCCAGTAACTAGTTGTGTGATTTCAACAAGTATTCTTTCTGGCTCAATAACATTTCTGGCTCCTCGTTCTCTTTATCGATAAAATGGTAATCCATACTCATTTGTCCCACAGAACCAAAGAACCCATGTGGAAAGTGGGAGGTTGGTGGAATTTTGTGGAAGCAATGAACGGTCTGGCTTCCAGCTTGGGAAGCCACATGGAATCCCTAAGTTACTCCTGAGTCTCCCCCAAGTCATGCAAAAATAACAGTATTTTGCAAATAGGTTTGAGGCGCAAGTTCCAGAAGGTCAGTTATGCTAGAAAGCCCAATTCTCCCCAGCTTCCCTCACTCTTTATGGAGAAAGCTCACCTCCGGCCTGATACTGAATACTAAGTGCTCCAGAAACTTCCACCATCCCACCCTACTCTCTACTACCACTTATTCATCCTACACCTCTCACCTGAGAGCTCCATTTCTCTCCTAAAAGGCCACATGCCCTTGAAGCCTCAAAAGGTGACCAGATCTGTGCTGATGTAGATCAGTGAATGGGACTACACAGTACAGACACAGAAGACGTGCTCATCTGAAAACTTCTACCTGTGACATCATGTTCCAAAAAGGCATTCTAATTTACAAACTGCATCCAAGCTAGTAGCAGTCTAAACTTGACAAGAAGTAATTCATTTTCTTCAAAAGTTTTAGCAAAAATGGAACAGAGCTAAATTGAAATAGAAATCTGACTTCCTTCAGTAAATAACCCATGAAATACACAAATTTCCTATGGGATCCTGAAAAAAGAATCTAAGGGTGGAAACGTTAGGGTTCATGGAGGGAAGCACTTAGATGACCTCCGAGTCCCTCTAATTATACCCTGAGGACGCCAGCTGAGCTGCCCAGGCCACTGGCCAAAGGCTTCATCCTCATAAACCACCTTCCCTCCAACCTTGTATCTGTCAACACACCAAAATACATATGTCCTCTGTTCAATAGGCAAAGTGGATATAATTATCCCATTTTAAAGATGACAAAACTGAAACCCCTAGAGGATATGTGACTTACCAAGGATGAGACATCTGGCAGGAGGCAAAGCTGGAGTCAGCCCAAGGTCTCCTGCCCCATAGTCAAGCTGTGTTGCACATCTGTCTCTGCTTCCTCCGAATTATTTTTAGGAAATGCATGAATAATCAGCCAAAGAAGGAAAAGAAAAACAACTCAGTTACTTTAAGGAAGCCCAGGCTGATGGAGATATGTACCACATGCATAGCTAGGAAGACAGGTAATGCATAGGTAGCTGGGTAAGTAAATAGGTAGATAGGTAGGTAGGTAGGTAGATGAGTATGTAAGTAGGAAAAAACACATGCATACATATCCATAAACATTTGAGGCAACTTAGAAAATGAACCACAGTATACAACAGAAAAATAAATAATAAAAACAATCAAAATCGGTTGAAAGGAACAAATAAATGGATGCCACCAATCACCAGGATGTGAAAGAGGCTGCCATCGGGGGCCAGACTCAGTCCTGAGTCCCCTGTCATTGTATGGGATATACTTGTCACTGTCAATATAATGTTCACTCAAAGAAACAAAAGCCTTACCAATTCTTATAAAAAGGACTTTGGGTAACATAATAAAGTCCTCCACTGTGTTTTTGCAAAATACCCAGGTTTGTTCTTCACAAATACATTTCTGTGTCAGCTGCCCTCTATAAAAGCTGAAGACATGATATTCAATCTTAATTCGTTGGATGCTGTTCTGTGGGAAGCTAAGATAACGAGGTCCAGGGACATAGCTTTCAGATGACCTAACTCGGAGCTAAGGTGTACGTGGTCTCGCGCCCTGTTTTCTTTCTCTTCACATCTAATTCCTAGATACAGGAAGAGTTCTCGATATGTAGGCATCTGACACCCCATAAACATCCCAGCTGAGAAGCTGCAGATGTTACCGGAGTCAGATACCCAGGAGTTAGGAAGCCAAGCAGAAAAGAAGAGGTGAAACTAAAGGGAGAAAATAACAAGGGCTATAAATGGAAGATTCTAGATAAGATTACTTTTAATTAATAAGAGACCTATTCCAAGTGCCAATCACATCAGCTTCTTGAAGGCTTTGATTCTTGCATCCATTTGGAAGTTTCTGCACTAACGGCACCATGTAACTTCCTTATATTTGGTTGGCTGGTTGATCTTCTAAAGTCATTTCGCCCCGAAATTATTCTCGTGAGCCTGTTCTGTGCCTGCTCACTCTGACACTTCTCCATTCGTGGAAATAAATTTCCTCTCCAATTCCAGCTGCAAGCCAGACCGACAAGTGTAGTCTCTGAAAGAATAAGTCAACAAAGAAGATGTGAATTTTTGAGTACGCTTGAATAAATGCATATCCAGTCCCACAAATATTTACTGAGCTCTTTGTATGGCAGGAACTGGGCTGGGTGTCGAGTTTTCAAAGATAAGGTGAATAAAGCATGTCCAACGCCCTCAGGGAGTTCACAATTAACAGAGAAAAGTGTGTTGTTGGTACCCAATCCTTCACGGGAAATCAAGCCCTTGAGCAAACATATTATCACACGCTACACTTTGAGTACTGTGACAAAGGAATAAATGCAGCACGGGTACTGGAGAAGCCCCTTCTGATTCAGAGGATGGGAACTTTTCAGAAGGACAGTGATTGCCTATTCAATCTCCATTCGACTACCCCAGGTCCTTGCCAATAGAACCCTGATTTTTGTTCAGGGACACATCTATAAGAGAAGGAACGCACGGAAATAAATCTAGTCTAAACCAGTCATGGTAATCCATTCCTCTTGCCAGGGTGGACACGTGCTGAAATTAGGGCCCAGAAAATATGACAGGAAGGAGGTTGGGCGGACTTCAGGAAAGGTTTCTTTGTTCTCAAAAAGAAATGTCCATTTTCCTCTGGATCCTGCTGTCTGGATCTGATGAATGGAACCGTCAGCCACCTGGGATTGTGAGGCGTACTTGCCACAGGGCACTCGGCAGTCGGTTCCCTGGTATTTTTATGTGTGGCTGTGTAAATGCCCATGTGTGGGTAGAGGTACTTATCTACAAAGCTGTGAGCCTCTTCAGAACATGGATGAGGCGTTCCACGTTCCACATCATTTTTCCCTCCCACAGGATCTAGCATAGTGCCCAATACGTAGATGGCACCACCTAAATGTCTTTGAATAAATCAATACATAGCAAATCTACTCATAACATTTATTATAATCATTAGTGCATAACGTACAATTTTACTAAAATTTTTACAAACGTATGTTTCCAGTATGTGTAATGTTTTCCATTTTTATAATTTTTCAAAATACAACCCAAGACTAATCTAGATAGGTACCGTCCAATATGGTAGCCTCTGGACACAGGTGGCTATTTAAACTTAAATTAATTAAAATTCATTAAAAATTCAGTTCCTCAGTCACATTAGCCATATGAGGCTAGTAACTACCATATTAGACAATGCAGATAAGAGCATTTCTATCATCATAGAAAATTCTATTGGACAGCACTGTTCTAGAGCATGCACTGCCCACCTTCAAATGTAGCCCAGTGTTTGGCACATAGTAGGCATCCAGTAAATATTTGTTTAATTTATTGATGCATTCTGCTGCTCATTCCAGATATTATTACAATAGCCAAGATACAAAATGGCAAGCCCTGTCCCATCAATGAAAGCAACAGAACTAAATATTTAGCATATGACAAAACCAATGCCCACTGGTCTGTAGGTATACTGAGTTATCTAGAAAGTCCTACAGGTCCCCTAACTGGCAGACTGCCCTAAGCACACATGTCCCACAACCACAAAGTCAAGCCCAAGCTGAGCTGATGAGCCTGGGCGGATCATCCATTACTCCATGGCCTAGGATGGGCAGGTCTGTGGTTTATAATATACCCTTCTATTTGTTTCCAGGGACTGACTGTCCAAAAGGCAGCTGAGCCAATGTACTTTTTAGGGCTTATGCCCAATTTCCCTTCTCTTCAACTTCATCAAGAAATTTCACTATGAATTAGAGGTTTGAGATTATTCCCCAAGTCCCAGTGGATGAAAAGGCCTCTTCTGGTCTTGGGGCAGCAGATAACGTGCAGACATGAAAGCTAGACAGGTCTGGGTCAAAAGCCAGCTAAGCCCCTTAGCTGTGTGACTGAGGGCACATTGTTCAACTTCCCCTAGACTCTGTTTTTTCATCTATACAACAGGGACGTCAAAAGTTCTCCCCGGCAAGATCCTTTCAGAACATGATGTGTCCGTGTGTGAAGCGTGCTCGATTCCTTCCCGGCCCGCACCATGCCCTGGACAAACGGCCCGGTCAGCCAGAGGTGCTCCCCCAGTGGGGGTGTTTTTCCCTTTCCTTTCCTGGCACAGTCTGCCTGAAGTTCCTCTGTATACACCCCCTGGCCTGGGGAGCTGTTATTTTTGTTAATGTTAAGTAATAAGCTTGTAGCTACCAATCAGAAGTGCTTGGAAGGCACTGAAAGACACAGGTAGGGTCTGGGGGGGCCCTGGATCCAGGCTCCAGTAAACAGGTAAGTTCTGACCCTGTCCCTTGAGATTGTCCCCACCTGGAGTGCAACAGCCCTTTCTCATCCTCTGGACAGCCCCCTCTGCTTGCTACTTTGTCTTCTGTCTCCTGGAGGCTGGGTCTACCCCCACCACTGACCTGTCGCCCCTCTGTCCTTTTCCACGAGCCTCTCCCTGACAGAATTCCTGAAAATTCTCACTAAAATGGTAACATGGGCTCATAAGTGTATGTGCATCAAATAGGGATGCATTTAATAGGGCCAATGATATTGGAACATGAGTCCTTACTTAATTCTCATGCTTCTCACCTTCAAGAGAGCTTCAGATTTAAAATGAGAGTCTGTGCTTGTAAAAATGACCAATAATGCATTTTTTTACCTCCTAAAAATACATTTCAGTTCATGTGTCCCCCTCTAGGGTAATACAGGCAGGTGAGTGACTGCATCCACTCTTGCCAAGCCACAGAGCCACAGAATTGGCAGTCCACCCACCACGGTATTCTGCCATTTGTCACGAGATTTAGTGAGGTCACCCAGACGCAACACAGCATCCCTCATTTAGGCTTCTTCTATGTATTTATCATAATACAGCCTAAAAAATGCTGTTATACTCAGTACATTTTTTTTTAAGATTTTATTTATTTGAGAGAGAGAATGAGAGAGAGAGAGAGAGCATGAGAGGGGAAGAGTCAGAGGGAGAAGCAGACTCCCTGCCGAGCAGGGAGCCCGATGCGGGACTCGATCCTGGGATTCCAGGATCATGACCTGAGCCGAAGGCAGTCGCTTAACCAACTGAGCCACCCAGGCGCCCCTACTCAGTACATTTAAACATTTTACTATCCCTGAAATTACCTTCTGGCTACCAGATTGAGCATTAGCTCAGTTTAAGCTTTTCATGATTTTGTCACCTGGATAATATCCCCCTTTTCCACTTTTGTCCACGCTGAAGAAGTCTTAATGGCTTTATTTGCTTCTCTTTGGGACTTTGTCCATCAAAAAGTCTAAAATACATCGTAAATATTTTAAGACACCTTAAATACTTTAAGTCATCTTTAGTACTTTAAAGATGAATCAGCCTTCCAATAGTTGTTTGTTTGTTTGTTTTTAATTATTATTTTAGGACTTGTTTCACCATTGACCACACTGTCTCCCAAGTGCAGCAAACATTTCCGTAGTGCATTTGCATAATGTGGGGCAAGCTTTGGAGAAACAGAAATATTTCATTTTTCATATAAAGTTCTCAGTTTTTCCTTTACATGTGTAACCTATCTATCAATGCTTCATTTAATCAAGCCCTAGTGTTTCCCAGGCTTAAAGAGATCTTGCTTTGAGTAATCTCCCAGAACACAACCAGCTCCAAGAGCTTCTGGGATGTTTCAGAGGTGAAGACAGCCAGGCATTAAATCAGCCGCAGGCAAACTTTTACCACAGTAGGGCTGAATGATTTTGACTGCTAAGTTCTGGAGCGCAGTATCCATTCTCTGTAGCTCTTCCCTGAGATCAGAAACCAAAACCTGTACCATGCTTTGTCCTCTGCTACTATCGCCTCTGTAGGACATCCTTGTTTCTTTGTCCTGCAGACATTCTTGTCCCACCAGCATGAGAAGTCACAGCGCTGTTCTGCATCCCTGCTTGCATCTTCCCGCTTCGGTAACAGTGACCAAAGTTTTCCTGTCAATCGGGGAAGAGTTCGACCTTGACCACTCCTGCATTCATCAACAAGCAGTTATGGAGGACGTCCTAGGTGCTAAACTCTGCGCTGGACCCTTGTATATGTACGTATTTAGTGAAAGCAAGCTCTAGAATAAGACATAAACAAATAAAGGATCAAGGCGGCCCACAGCACAATGTCCACAGGAGGGGCCAGGAGACACGGGGACACAGAGGAGAGAGCAACCACTCCATCCTGATGCCGTGCTGAGGGCCAGAGAGATGGTGACCTTTGAGAAGGACTTGAAAGATCAATAGTAACTCCCCAGACTGGAAAAGAAGGGGTGTAGGGCATTCCAGACAGAAGCTGTCATTCACCAGCTTAGAGAAGAGATAGAGCTGCAGAAACACAGCCCAGTCCCATTTGGGACACAACATGTTACGTGTGAGATGTTTGCAGGGCCTAGAACTGGAAGCATCTGGCAGCGGGTTTGGAATTGGGGTCTAGAGTTCCGCAAAGAGAGCAAAGCAAGAGTCTTAGATGCACGACCCCTTGGTTGAAAATAATGGCACGGTGAGTCTCAATGAGCAATAGGCATGATCGAAGAAAAAAAGACCAGGGACAGCAGGGCACACGGAAGAAATGGAGGCAGCTCCAGGCAGTGAGTACAGAGGTGGGAGCATTTCTCTCTTTTCTGAAAAAACTCCATAGGCAAATGTAGAGAGGTGTTCAAGAGCCTCACCGACAGAGCCGAGAAGGAGACCCCCAGCTCCTGAGTGCCATGCCCCCTGCAGGCGGCGGCTTGGGTGCTCTCCCCTTGGAAGGGGGGCACCCACCCGCTCCCGGCTTCCGTCTCCTTGATCTCACCCTCTGTTCTCCAGAACTCTGACTCTCACAACTGCTATATTGTAAGATCTTTATAAAGGGACTGAAAATTATTTGTGGAATAAGAGTTTACAAACAAAGCAAAAATAAACATCCAAAATATCACTCAACTCAGCATCTACATTATTCTACATCTTACAGAAGAAACCATCTATCTTTTAATGATTTTGTTTGTCGAAGTCTTTGGCTTTGGGGCATCCTCTGCAACGTAAGCTCCACAATCCCAGCACAAAGCTCTTCTCTCTGGCGCTGTGGTCGTCCTAGCCCCGGTTCCTGAAATGCCATTGACAGATTGTCGGGGAGGTGGGTGACATGGCCTGGAATTTTGCCCGAGGGGTGGAAGAGCAGTGCGTGGTCGCCTTTCCCTCCACACACAGCTGGTGTCACCGTGACCTGTCACCACAGAGGAAGAGTGAGGCCTGGGGCCCCGGGGACACAGTAGAGGATCAAGAGGTGATGCCACCGCCCTGCGGGACCCTCAGAGAGGCCAGAAGTTCAGGGGACCGTGCAGAGCCCAGGGGTCACAGAACTAAGGGGAGCAGAGGGCGGCAGTCTGCAGGACCCGTGTCCCTTTAGTTCTGTGCTACTCAGACATCCCTTAATTAAAGCTGAAGAGCAATACTGCGGACTCCATCCCACCTACCTGCCTCCGGGAATCCCAGAGAACATGTATACAGCTCACGAGTCCAGATTTGCTATTGTCAGCCAGCTGTCCCATCACCAACCACCTCTTGCCATAACACAATGCCCTCCCTGAGCCATGTGGCTCTTCCCACACCCCTGCCCCCAGCATGGGCCATGCCTTGGTTTCCCCAACACTGAGGTCAGGTTGTAACTTCTATAAAAATGAATTGATAAGAGGTGAAATTTACAAAACAGAAAAGACAAATCTTAGAAGTGCATGCTAGATATAACTGCACACAGTGTCCATGGGCCCAAGCCCTCCACACACCTCAGCTTGCCTGGGAGAGACAATGCAGTTATCACTGGATGGGTCCTCAACTTATCACTGCTAGCTTCCCACCTGCTCTGTGAGTGTCCCAAAGAGAAAGATGCACTACATGGTTTACCAGCCCACCACGCCATTTGGAAGTGCTTTTATCAACATATCATGGGTGCCTCTCTCCAGAGTCCTGGGTCTCTACCTCTCCAAAGATCAGCAAGAGGGAACAGGTATACCCTGTCCCAAACCAGCTTTGTAGTCAGAGTAATAATATGCAGAGTATAATTCTGTTAGTCTATGCTATCAGATTAAGCTCAAAAACTTCTTTTTGTAAGAACTGAGTCATAAATGCATATTTTCCTCCCTTAATAAAAGTCTCCAATAATATCTGATTATCAACAAATCAGAATAACCCCTCACCACCCTATTGGCAGGGTCCCAAGCAATTTCCCCGAAGTCCCAAGCCGGGAGCTAAGAGAGATGCTCCCACTAGATGTGCTCCCCCAACATTGGGAAAGAAAGGAGTCAGTCAGGATTTCTCCCGAGTCCAGGCCATTGAGATGCCAGCTAGCAGAGTACCGTCTGATTCCGTGATTGCTGTCCCCATACTTGGCTAACCCATGGGGACAGGCACCCTTTACCCAGGGCACATGGGAACCAAAGGTGTCTGGGGTAGGGCAGTAAATGTCACCTGATTCTTGACCAGATCTGGCATGGCTCAGCTTGGTCACAGGCAAGAACCAAACAGAACACGAGGATAGTGTTCTTTTCTTCCATATGGCTGTGAGGTGCTCCCTGGAACTCAAACACACAACCAAGGGGCCCTTTGAAGTCTTTCCCCCCCTCAAACAGAGAGGTAATTGCAAAGAATATCCCAATTTCCATCTAGAAATACAGAAACAATGCTGGCAGCTTAAACACAGACCTCCCCAGCATCCCCCAGATTCCAGCCATCAGGGGTCCCGTAGCACTGAGCCCCCACACACTCCCCTGCCCCTCAGACCTCCATCTGTTGGTCGCAGGTCACTGCTGCCATCCCGTTTGCCATCCAGGAGAGGGACGTGCTCACTGAGGGGCCCACACTTGCTGTGCAGTCATCTAGAAAGCAGCACCAAGCACCTGGAGTGAACTGGTTCTGACCCAATCCAGTGCTTCCACAATGGGGAAAAGTGGACTTGGTTCTCTGGGCACTTGACGGATTTATCATGTGACTTCAGGCCTGTGTCTTCATTAGCCACCTGCTCTGCCTGCTCCAGGCCCTTATAATTAAAGAGAGGTCTGGAAGGAACTCGGTATTGAGCTGTGTTGTTTTCACATCAGTTGCTCCATCCAAAGAAAAGCCCGCTAACAGAGCTATGCTGTAATGCACCCGGTGCTTAGAAGCCCTTCCACTCACCTCAGCAAAACACGGCCTTGACTTCAAAATGTACTTTCAGAGGTTAAGTGCTCATCCCAATGGTTTCCATTGCACAGCGTCAAAACGAATTCTAGATCTTGAGTGAAAGGTCGCCTTTGTGCTTCTAAATCTCCACTGGTATAACTTATAAGGGAGCCCCTGATGCACACACCCCAGTGGTTTGCTATACGTACCAGAAATATCAGTCAACAGAATTCACCAGCCCAAGGAGCCTCGCCGGTGAGTGGGGACAGTGCAGAGACCCTGGGATCGAAGCTGTGTGACAATGAAAACACACTGAGGACGAATCGGGGAGGAAGCGGGCAACAGTTACACTGACGGAATGATGGGGGATTCTTCTCAAAGCAGTCTTTCCTGTTTTCATATCGTCTCCATAATAAAATCAGAAGTGGGGGTGGGGGAAGCTCATGGTACTTCAGTCGGACGGCTTGAATGACATCCCTGGCTTCACTTCCGTGGCTCTCTGGATACATCGCTGAAATTCTTGGCACTTCTATTTCTTCATCCTATGAAATGGGGACAGTGGTATACACTGTTGGTTTTGACCCACCAGCCTCCATAACCCTTCTCTGGTAAGAGCACCTCAAATTCACTTTGGGGAATCACCTTCCTCGGCTTCTGGTCCCAGTACACCTGCCCTGTTGAGTCTTGACAAGACTCTGTCAGTAAAGGCTCTGCCTACCTGGAGCGGGGCGCTGACTGCAGTGGGGCCCGGGATCCTCTGTCCCCAGATCCTCGACTCTTAACCATAGAGTCCCGAGGAAGGACACGATGAGCTGATTCATCTCAGGCTGGTTCTTTAGCTGTGCCTTCAATTATGTGAGTCTGCTATATCCCCCCAGCAACCACACTTTTTGCTGAAGTTAGTTAGCCACAGCTGGCTTCTGTAGTTCACCACCAAAAAAGCTCTAATTACCGTGTCTTTGATAATTGCCCTGGCCACCCCACAGGTTGTTCTGAGAACCAAACAAACCATGGGTGTGAAAGCATTTTACTCACCATGGAGGTCTGTATGGCCTTTCGGCATTTTGACTCTGTGGGGTCAAACTCTCCATGCGTACACAACTGGGGGCACAGGTCCCGGACGCTGGGAAGTTTCCATCACATAGGCCGAGTGGAATGTGGGATCAGTCGTGCCAAGGAATCTCCCCTCGGGACGAGATCAGCAGACACGATGCACTGCCCCCACCCAGGATGGCATTGGTGAAAATCCCCCCAGGTGCACCTGGCCCCCTGAGCAATGGTACACTCGGAGGCAGGTCGATGCTGCCAGAGCTGAGTGTTGAGCAGCACGAAGTGGACCCTCTGTGGCCCACAGACCTGCCGTCCTCACTGGGCTTAGTGGATCCATTCTCATTATGTAGCTGAACCTTGTTTTGGTCTCCCCAGCATTATAATTTCCAGCTAATGAGTCAGGTGCAATTGTACATCTTAGAATAGCACACAGGCAAGTTTCAGAGCCTCTTCCTTCTGGACAAGGAAATGTTACTCCCTAATGAATGGTCACTTACGTATGAACTCAAGTCAATTTAACATGGACCCAGGCCCTCCACAGGCTGAGAAGTCACAAATGCTGCATTCATGGAAAGCTACATATAGCACAAAATAGCTGTGATACCGGGTGAGTGTCATAAGAAAAATACAAAACTGGGAAAGACTTCACGCAGGAGGGGACATATGTTGACCCAGAGGATCAGAGCAATCCCAGCTGTACCAGGATTTGATTTTTCATTCATCAAATCAGTCACCATTTCTGCGTACTAACACGTTGGAGCCGTGGATATTCTTGCAGACGGGATCAGAGAGAGAACCTGGGTCAGCACTGGTCAAGTGCACACCCCATTTCTGGAAAAGGATCACCTGAATAAAGAGCTTCTATGGATGCTCCAACCCTGAGCTCATCCTCAGATCCAAAATCCCCTTTAAATTCCTCTTTACCTCAGAGTTCAAGGCCATGTGGCCAGGACAAAATATTTTTTTTAATTCTGCTCTTTAAGATTCCAGCCTGGAAATACTGCAAGTGAGCGCCGAAGCGGTCTCAGCTCGCTGCCATGCTGGGCCCCGTCCCAAGAGTTGCTGACAAAATCACCAGTTGTGGTTTCCAACCACATTTGTGCAAACCGTCATTTTCCCTTCTCAGATTGCTAGGTTCTGTTCTCACACACATGCCAAGCTTATGAAGTTGTGCAAAGCTCAGGAAGTGAATTCCTCTGTAGGAAAGTGATTTATAATGTTAAGCTATAGGCCCACACACTGTCAGAATAAATCTCGTTCAGTGTTTCCCAGGTTCTTCTTCACCATTTGTCTCTCCCATGTTTCCTCTCCCTGCCATGTCCAATCCACCCCAACACATGCACACGCACGCACGAGGCCCGCCGCCCCTTTGTCCTGTAGCAGCACTGTGAGAAGAGCTGCCTCTGGGGCCCCAGCCCCATTTCCACGGTCCCCTTCACTGGCTGGCCAAACCCAGGGCCAGCCTGGAAAGCCCCAGTTCAAAATGTCAGCCCCGAAAGTGACTCCACAGTGAGTGTCTTCAGATGGATGTGGTCCATGAGCTGGCAGCTAGGCCAAGCCAGCTGAAGTCAGCAGAACCTTCCTGGAAGTCTCTGTTCTATCCAAATGGGATCACTAGTGATCAAGAAAGGCAGCTAAGAAGCAAGCACGACATGTTGCTTTCAGATGGCAGAAGCAGGCCCAGGTCTGCCATGGGCATTCCAAGAGCTGCCAAGAGCCACAGTGCCATACACAGTAAAGCGAGACCCGGCTGTCCATCCTTGGGGGGGGGGGGTTGTGCCTTTGACATTAGGGTAAGTGCTGGGTCAGTGTGAAGAATGGTTATCTGATTCGATCTTCCATTTCCCCCCACTAGGCAATTCTGCCTCCCTGTTTTAAACAAGATGGGGAAAGGTAAACGGCTATTCTCTTGTCCCTTCTTTTTCTTGTAGCCTTAAGAAAACACACCTTCGGAGATGTCCTTAAACTGCCTGCCCTGGTCCCTGTCAGGGCACCAGCACTGACCCTCTGTTTCTCTTGCAAGAAGCAAAAGCGGGAGCATTTGCCTACAGGGTTTAAATGGCCTGCGTTCTGGTCCCAGATCAGAAACTTGGAATGACTGGGTTTTTAATTCTATCCTGGTCGTTAGATTTCTTGGAGACTACTTGGATTTCTCTCCACGGTGTCAGCCAGGAAGGAAGTATTGCCACACTGTTCTCCCCAAGTCTGTTCAGATGCTCTCCCCGTCTCTGGCTTTAGATGGTAAAGTCAAAGGAGAGAAACGTACTGAATTCTGTTAGTACCGATTGTTTGATGTCCAACAAAGCCTATGAGTAAGTAATCATCTGCTCCCAGCAAGTCAGCCCCTCCTCAGCAGTAAAGTGGACAGAGTGAAGGAGGCAGGAGGAGATACCACACTCCTTGGCAGGCAGGCCGCAGACTCATCAAAACTGCAGGGGTGGGGGGCGCCTGGGTGGCTCAGTTGGTTGGGCGACTGCCTTCGGCTCAGGTCATGATCCTGGAGTCCCGGGATCGAGTCCCGCATCGGGCTCCCTGCTCGGCGGGGAGTCTGCTTCTCCCTCTGACCCTCCCCACTCTCATGTGCTCTCTCTCATTCTCTCTCTCTCAAATAAATAAATAAAATCTAAAAAAAAAAAAAAAAGACTGCAGGGGTGTATCAGGAGTCAAATCGGGGAGTAGGCTCTGAGGGGGAGGGAGAGCTGAAATCCCACTACGGCTGGTCCGAGGAGCTCCTTAGAATGACGCAGGACCTTGATTCCCCTCGGTCCACCTATCAAATTTCACTTAAACTTAAAAAATACCGATTTGTCCATTTGAAAATCATAGAATCTCGTGGTTAGACAGACTTCTTTCTCATGCTTACCAATGGGGGGGATTATGCAGTACTCCCATAACAGGGTCCTCACCATTACCCAAAACTCGGTCCCCTTGAAGAGTTCTGCTGGTGGGGTCCCTCACATGGAGGCAGCGCCACTTGGTGTCCTGGCCTGGCCGTGTGGGAACAGTCCCCAAACAGTCCGCTGACCCTTCAGCTCTCCCCACCGAGATATGTGCCCCTCACACTTCCCCCATTTCCCACGCGGCATGGTTTGGGGTGCCCATGTGGATCTGGTTCTCCTCCTTTCAGCGTGCCCCCATCCGATATGCCCCCTTCAAGGAGAGGTGCCCCTCACAGAACCCAGACGCCCGCCATGGGTGGTCCGATAAAGCCAGAACCAGACGATCGCACCTCTCCTTCTAAATCTACACTTTTATTAACACAGTGAGGCTTGTATTCTTGGCAGGCACAACACACTCGTACTGAATATTAACTTTATTCTCAACCAACCTTTAGCCTGTTTTATTCCCGTTCCTGCTAAATCCCGTCACCCAACCCTAGACTTCTGCAAATCATTTTCTGGACCTAGTCGCTGGGCCTTTTGTTTGCTGGGTATTTTCATTTAAAAGTAGACGGCTGAACCACAAATCACTCAGGGCACACCCATCCACAGCCTTTTAATGTTGCCTCAGAACCAACAACAAAAAATCCAGCAGGAGGACAAGAACCATCAAGCTGAAATGAAGACCAGACCACATTTCACTTAGACAATTACCATCCTATTAATTTTAGTCAATTATTAATTCAAGCCCCGTGGTATCCGGGCAGCTTGAAAGAATGAAGGCATCTACCAAAGCAACTTGCTCGGGTGACAATGGCAGTGGGGCCACCACCCTCCGGGGCTCAGCGAGGCTGGTGGGGAGCCCACAAATCAGCGAGCCATTTCCTGCACAGACCGGCACGTCCACCGGGCGCGCCCACTGGCTTCTGCCATCAAAAGGGACCAGCACCATCACCAGGTTCTCCCGCTGCAGGGGTTAAGGGCAGTCTTCCCCTTTATTTCTGATTTCAGGCCTCTAAATTGCACTGGTAGGAAGAGAGGAAGAAGAACGAAGCGGGAGACAAAGAAGGAAGAGAAAAGAAGAGGGAGAGGCTAGTCACCAATAGGAGTCTGGCACCTCTTCCAAAAAATGGACAGAAGTACGCAAGCTCTGACATTTTGTAGGAAAGCAAGCTTGTAAGGGGGTAAAAGGATATCCACTGACCCCCGCCCGGCTGGGGAGAAGGAAAAAGTCTCCCCTTCCCCGACGCACTGGCAGAGGACATCCTAGGACACTCAAGCCACGAGGCAGCGGCCAGACAGCCCCAAACACAGAAGGTCAGACAGGAGGGTCATGGGCAGATGCTCTGCTGGCAGGGAGCGCGTGAGCAGCGGCCCTCGCTGGAACGCGGGCTGGCTCTCATTCACCATCAGGGTGAACCAGAGTTCTCATCTGCTAACCGGGCTTAGACATTGATCACCAAAGATCGTTCTTCCTGATGAGCCTCTTTCCTCCTCCTGGGCTCATAAATCACTTTTAATTGACCAGCCCACAAGTCCTCCTTCGGACTCACTTCTTTTACGTGGCTTTTGGTTAAAAGGAAAGCCGAGCGCACTTCGGAGCGCAGTTTGAGTTTTTCCCTTAACATTTCCATGACTTTGCCATTGTTACTCCTCTGATGTGGGGGCCGGGCTGGCCAGAGGCAGCAGCTCCACTCACACACAGCTGACAATATCAGCACATCTCTGTGGCGCAGCTTTTAGACGGCGATGTTTCATATTTTACTGCAGTTTCCTTTGGAAATGCTCAAAGCAACGACATCTGTTTCCTTTCACTGGGATTGTTATGTTCTTCCAGCCAAAAAAGGAGAGCATAGAGTTCATTAATTCAGCATAGTAATAATTACAATGTCCACAT